TGTACGTCATTGTTAGCTCTATCAAACCTACCCTGTCGTTCATCAAGGAAGCTACAATGGCCACCGATGATGACACAAGCCTGACAGCAGACCTGAAAGCGAGGATCAAAGCCGACTTTCAGAAACGCTATACCGGCGACGTAGCTCAGACCCTCCAGAATACGGCCACGTGGTTGGACCCTCGCTACAAAACTGCATACTTGACCGAGGAGGAATGCAGAAATGCCGCGGACAAAATAAAGGATGAGATGATTGCGTTCGAAGTAGAATGGGCACTGGCAGGTGATACTGCTGATGAAGCTCATCGAAACGAAGATCCTAACGCATCAGACAACAATGAGAACGTCAACGACCAACCAGCAGCAAAGAAAACGAAAAAATCACTTGCAGAACTTCTGGGGCAAGTGAAAAAAACGTCAACATCAGCTAACGCAACTACTCCTGCTGCTCGGATCGATCTTGAGATGTCCCGGTACGTCTCTGCACCCGAAATTGAGCTGGATGCAAACCCTCTGCAATGGTGGAGTATGCATGCTGGTGTATATCCATCGTTGGCCAAACTTGCACGCAAATACTTGTGTGTTTGTGGCACAAGCTCTGCATCCAAACGACTTTTCAGTGTCGCTGGTAACATTGTTACGGCCAAGCGGTCCCTAGTGAAGCCACACAAGGTTGACATGTTGGTTTTCTTGGCCAAAAACCTATGATTTTTTTACTGGTGGAACATTTCTGAGGTTTTTTACTTTCTGGACAATTATAATGTGTAAACTGTAATGTATGGTTTTGTATATTATATATAGTTTTATTAGTTTATATTATTAATATAAAGATTTAAAGTTTCATTTCGTTTTCTTTCGTATTTTCCCAACATTTTGCAGCGATTTATGCGGTTGTTATGCAGACAGTCAAATTATAACGTTAAGTGATATTAAAGTCCTTGACTTCATTCAGTTCACAACTGAAATCGTGCTGAGGTAAAAGTTCACACAATTTGCGATTTAGCGTGTACGATTCGCATTCTGAGGTGAAAAAAATTGCTGACGCAGCCATAAAGGGCTTGACAAAGCCCACAATTCCTCTTCATTTAGTTTAAGCAAACTTTATAGAAAAAAAACCGGTTTTACGGTTTTACCGGTTTTGAATCGGACGGTTTTTCGGTTTTTATTTTAAGCAAAACCGCCCAAGCCTAGTGGTTGGCTGGTTTTGAACCTGGTCAGGTAATGAAGGTGATAGGACAGAAAGTGGTGACCAGTTAAGTGATGAGGATGAAAGTGACTAGGACGAAATCACCCATGCTGTTCCATTTAAGTGCATCGGTGCTGCTCATGAGAAAAACTACCAACATCATTTTCGAACCGGCATACCTTGCTCTTCATTGGCCAGAGCAATTGAATTCAATGGACCCAAGTGCAATTGATGTAGACTATGGAACAGGATGGACACATCTTGGTTATATTGCTTCTGAACTATGCGAGTATTTGCACCCACTAATTGCCGTAGGAGATATCTTAGAGGTCTATGTTCAGTAATATCAAGTATAGGGTTGAGTTTTTTAAAAAAGGATTTTATCCAAAAATTTCATAAAGCGACGTGGTGAGCGGGAGACTCAAGTGGTAAGGAAGAGCATTAGTATATGTTGACAGATGTTTGTGATATAATAGCAACTGGCTAGGTTTAGCAAGTTATAGAAATGCTGTTATTTCAATTGGCTAACTTTTTAGATTTTTTCAGCATTTTTAAACAAAAACTAGGTTATAATCACAAGTGGGTGCAATTAAAACAATGTCTGTCATGCACACTCGTGCAATTAAGTACATAATTGTAACATGTGCTGTACTAAATGAATAAATAAATAGTTTATACATTCACTTGACCAACTTTGTGAGTAAATTTTCATTAAAATTAATGCAACATTAAAACAAGAGTATGTCTATTTATATACAATAATATTGATCAAAGGTCCCACAATAACATGCTGCTGATACTTTAATTAAGGTACATTATATGAGAATACAAAAAAAACCTGCATATAATGCACCTATCAATGTTAACTCCCAGGGGGGGCATATGTGGGGTATTTGATCATTAATTGCATCTCCACCCTAGGGATTTTGATTATTCATAGTTAACATTTGGGCCCAAGTTAGGGCAATTTGAACCAAAATGACTTTTATTAATATAGTATTTATTGCAATTTATTGCAAAATGGTAGGGTATTTGACCAATATTTATTGTCCAACAGTGGGGCATTTGATTGAAAATTTAATAAAAAAAATCAAATGCCCCCACATATGTCCGACCCCCCCACCCCCCTCTGGGGCTTAACATTGATAGGTGCATAAGAACCACCATTTCTCAAACTTTATCTGAATTAGTTGTGTAACAGCATTTATACAAAATACTGTTAAAAAAGGCCAAGTGGGACTTCACTGCTATAAAGGCCATTCTATCCAATGGCATTATAGGACCAATATCTCCATGACGTTGTTCTCCAAAGCATCGAGCAGCGTTATAAATCAGATTGTCTTTTTTACCGGCATGAAATACAGACATAGCCTTGGCAACAAGTGGGATGAGGGACAAATTTAGCATCTAAACCAGGATTAAGTTTTACCAGCCATTTTTGAAACAGGTGGATGAGTAGTTGTTCTTGTTGTCACTGGGTTAGTTTTGAAAGTCCAGAAGTCATGTCAATTCATCATATCAGTAACGTTACCAGAGAGGTGAACAAGTTTAGAACTCCAAATTTAATGGTGATGCTTAATTCTTGCAGACGAAATCATTGACACAAATAGAATCCACTAGGCAAAATCACGAATCTCAACAAATCTAAAACATCAGCCAAACAACGAATTTCACCAATAAAATATTGTTACAGAAGCAGGGCCGTCCCCAGGAAATTTTTCAGGGTGTAAGGTCATTTTAACCAACTGACGAACAAGCTTGCACTGACCACCTGCTAGCCATGGAAGCTTGTGGAATTTCCGATGGAGGTCAACTACGGAGCCATTTTTAGATTAAGGGGGCTATAGCGACCGTAGAAGGTGTGAGTTTGTCAGGGAGTCCGGGGGAATGCTCCCCCGAGAAATTTTGAAATGTGAGACCTCCCAAAGGCCCAGAAATGCAATCAAATTTACCAGTTGCTGTTAAAAAGTTTCTCAATAGACGACTTCTAGGCCCCAGTTACACGATACTGGATTCGAATTGGACAAGGCAGCATATTTTACAAAGGGCTATATCCAACGGTGAATATCTCGAAAACAGTTGAGAGGCCGAGGGGGGCAGGTCTGGATAGAATTAAAGATTATACTTTTATTTAACTAATTGTGGAAAAAATAGTGAAATTGAACCATGGAGATTTGAGATTTTTGTCTTCAAAGATTGTTGGCAGAAACGCCATTAAATTCCATCGCGACAGCATAGTGCCTAAGTAAGAGGTCAAAATAAACTGGAAAATGACGCATACTTTTAAGATACCGTTCCAATGGGTGGATTGACTGTTGTAAAAGTAGTATTGCAGGGGTGGAAAAAAAAATTTTCTTTCTGGGAACCTGGGTCGAAGGCTATAAATTTTCTGTAAAATTTGCAATGTTACAATTACAAAAATAACAAAACAAATGCATACATAATTATTGTATTATTTGGACTTTAGTAATAATAGGCTTTAGGCAGGTTTTTGTATGCTTGTACATCACAATAGTTGTCTGTTATATACCACAGTTATGAGTTATGACCAACTAGTAAGGATCTAACGCTTAACTAATTGTCCTATCATCTTATTTATTCCATCACGTTTATTTGTTTACTATTTAATTTTCATTTTATTGGAGACTTTGCAGAGCATATATTTACCATTTTACCTCGTTGTGATGGCAGGGGTGGGTAAAAGAATTAATTTCTGTCAAATATTTAAAAGGGTGCCGATGTTAGCGTGTACAGTGTAAATAAAGTAGAACCATTGTAACTTGTAAGTTGAGTAAACAGAGTTATCTCAAAATGTTGAAATATTTTCTGGAAAATTTTCTGCAAAACTTCACAACTCAAAAAAATTTCTGTGAACTAGGTTCCCAGGTTCAGATACTTTTTCCACCCCTGTAGTATTGAGTGAAATTTCCCCCAAAATTTGCATAACAATATGAAAAAAATCGATATTTATGAGCCCTATGTAAATGTTCGATGCCAAAAGCTTCGTGCAAGCATGAGGAAAATGGCGCAATCTGATTGGTCGAGATGTTCGCCTAATTGGCTGTCCAACCTTCTCTGACTATTGAGTAAGCTACATCTAAAAAGGGCCTGTCCATTGCTCAACTTCAAATACCTAAAAGATAAACAACAAAATATGTGGTGTTGGAAGACATTTGTTAGGATAATTTGATTAATAATATGTAGTGGTTATATCATTTTTCACTATCCTTCTCACTTTAATTTTTGTTACTGTGTAATTGGTTATTTCCATAACTTTGTAATAATTTTTGTTTTTCTCTTGGTCTCACATTTCATTTTCTATCTCTTGCCCTTATTGTGTCACACAGAATATTTCACCTTTTTTAGTCCCTATAATCTTAGTTGCCATAGTTTATTACATATATGTATTTCACCATAGAAGTTGGAGTAAATAACCTTTAATTATTTAGGTTACACAATGTCTTCTTGTCCCATTACCTATTTTACACCAAACAAATTTGAAAAAAACTAAAAGATGAACAACAAAATATGTGGTGTTGGAATGACCTGCACTAACAAGACATTTGGTAGGATAACTTGACTTATAACATGTAGTAGTTTTATCATCTTTCCACCTTTCATTTTTGTTACTGTGTAATTGGTTATTTTCAATAACTTCGTAATAATTTGTTGCTCTTGGTCTCACTTAATTATCCAAACCCCTAAACTCTCCTTCATTCTCCTCTGCAAATTCTACCTACAACCCCCTTTAAAAACCCCTGCTGAAGAAGACTGTTAGCCCTAGTCAACCTTATTGTATCCCATAGTTCCTGTATTCACCCATAGTGTATCACATATATGCAGTTTATACCTTTGGAGTAAGTAACAATAATTTTGAATACTGGTTCTCTATATATTATGCAAATATATACAAATGTTATATATTATGCAAATATATACAAATGTGTACATAATATAATATAATGTATATTTAATTCAATCTGCTGACATTGCGACATGTTCAGTGGTATATATCGCACAGGTTGAGCAATTCCAAAAACTAAATGCCATCATATTTATACACATATACTTGTTCTCATTGTATGTGGACAGCACATTGACAAACTCACATACAGTACAATCATCACACATGTGTGAGTCAAGTGCTACCAGGCAGAGTGCTCATACCACCACGTTGGAAGTGAGCTATCATATTATATATATTATCATACCACAGTCAACCAACTGAATTAAATAGATTACTACATTAACTAATTTTAAATATTATTTAGGTTCCTCAATACGCATAATTATCAAAACATTGCCAATTCGAGTTCTGATTTTTAAAGTATATACAAAATGTTTTTTAGAAGTTTAATACTTCAAAACTTTAAAATGCAAACATAACATGCAAGTGTCAGCTATCTTTTCCTTCCAGAGGCTTTCAACACTTTATTAATTTGATAAGAATTGAAACATCCACATAACCTTCTTTTGGGCAAATTCCATAAATTCAATGGAAGGGCTATTCTATGTTCTAACCCCAGTTTTTGCAAATGATTTATTAAGCTTATTTAGCCTTGAATAGTTAACTTGGTAATTATTCAATAAGGAGAATTGTGTTTTATACTTGTGTATTTCTTTTGATAAAACAAATAAATTAGATATATTTGTTGGCACTAAATTATTAGATATGTCATGCATTAAAGTAGATATAGATTTTGATGTAAAGCATTTCAAAGAGTAAGGTATTAGTAGATAAATAGAAAGGAACTGTGTGAGATGTATACTTGCCAAAATATAAAAGTCGAAGTGTTCGTTGAAGCTTCAAGATTTTATTGATATGAATCTCTGCTGCTTGACCCCATAAAACAATACCATAAGAAATGCATGGTAAAATTATAGACTTACAAATATTTATTAGTACTAGTGGGAACAAAATGTCTCAATCTAGCAATAATACCTATTGATTTGCTTATTTTACAAGCTATGTGACTTATATGATATTTCCATATATTAAGGTTACTATCAATCAGTATTTTACACATTCTTTGCATTCTAGAGAAATATATTTTTGAGAATACAAAGTAAGGGTCTCCTTACTGCAGTGGTGAAGCCAGCCACAGGCGGCCCAATCTTACCCTGTGTTATTAATTACGTTATATCTTTATATAAATAGTATATTGAAAATCATTAGCAAATCCTGTGTTATTAATTTATTATGTTATATCTTTATATAATAGTATAATGAAAAGCACTTACATGTGTTTCTTGAAAGATTTTAACGAGAACCAGCCAAGATTGGCGTTGACAAGAGGTTAACAGCCATAGTTGGGTTTTACATGAGGATTAACAGCAAGAAATAATACAAGGCTGGTCACTTTGACCGTTAATTGGACTAATTGGGACAAACGCTGCCAGAAATCAATCAAATAATGCAAACTTCAGCTGTCGCATCCTCGCCAAATTACGTTACATCAGAAGAGCGATAATTTTTACATAATATACTTTTCTTTAACAGAATTGAACAATAATCGTCCTGCAGAAAATGCCAATTGAAATTTATAAATGTCTAATCCTCCGAGGTTCTTCACCGATCTGAACTCATGGCCTTCAAATTTGAATTACACGCTGCATTGTCATTGGTCGGCTTTCAAAACAACAACAGGACATTTCCGGTAAGAGAGCAAACGTTTGGGGAGTTAGCGAATGGCCTCTGCGAATGTCCTGTTGTTGTTTTGAAAGACTACCAATGACAATGCAGCATGTAATTCGAATTTGAAGGCCATGAATTCAGATCGGTGACGACCCTCGGAAGATTAGACATTTGTAAGTTTCAATTGGCATTTTCTGCAGGAAGATTATTGTTCAATTCTGTTGAAGAAAAGTATAATTTTTACATAATATCGCTCTTCCGATGTAACGTAATTTGGCGAGGATGCGACAGCCGAAGTTCACGTTATTCGATTGATTTCTATCAGCGTTTGTCCCAATTAGTCCAATTAACGGTCAAAGTGACCAGCCTTGTATTATTTCTTGCTGTTAATCCTCATGTCAACCCCAACTATGGCTGTTAACCTTTTGTCAACGCCAATCTTGGCCAGTTCTCGTTAAAATTTTTCAAGAAACACATGTAAGTGCTTTTCATTATACTATTATATAAAGATATGACGTAATAAATTAATAACACAGGATTTTCTAATGATTTTCAATATACTATTTATATAAAGACATAACGTAATTAATAACACAGGGTAAGATTGGGCCGCCTATGAGCCAGCCCAAAATTCTTGGTCATGCTTCAAGCAGCAAAGATGCAAGGCTTTCTAGGGGGGGGGGTCTGGGGGCATGCCCCCCCAGGAAAATTTTTTAAATTAGAACCCCGGAAATGCCATTTCCTGCGATTTGAGCATGGAATTCTAAGGTCCTCAAGAAGGGGGACAATTCACAAAATCACCATATTTTGACAATTTGATCAACAATTTGAGGAAGCATTACAAAAAGGTAAACTAGGGATTCAAGGATAGTGTAAAGTTTCAAATTGAAAAAGACACTGCAAGAACTATATAGGGTCGCCCACAACCTAGAACAGTAGGAGCAGGTACAGGCTAGTCCAGGCATAGCCTAGAGTAGGCATGTTATTCAAAAATGTGGATTAAAAAACATAAATTGAAATGTATGCGGACACATTTTTATCCCCATCCGTTCCGCATTTTATTCCCATATCCGTTCCATGGATCCGCTCTGTCCGCTTCTGCATTTTAACCTGATTGTGACATGTTTCACAATAACAAGTCTCATTGACCCTTTGACTGTCTCGCTCCTTCCTAGCTCTGTATAATGAATATACCATCAAAATAATTTAAATATGTTTGATGTGAAACCAGGATTATTCATAGAGTATAGACGTTCTCTGGTTAAAATATTTATTTTTTTAAAAGCTTTTGACTGTCAGTCTACAGTCTTCAACGGGTAGATTATAATGAAAGTGATGTGAGGTTTACAATTACATATATGGTATACACAATGACGTAAATGACAGCTATACAAGATTATAGTGGCTATGTTACACTGGAATGATTAATGTTTATTGACAAGAAATCGACATTGTTCTGGTAAATGTTTTGAGTTGTTATCTGAACCCTTTGTGCATGCAGTGTGCCGTGACTCAAGTGTTTGTCTGAACCACTCTTGTCAAGTTCAACATTTTTTATGTGTTCCTTTCGCCTTGTGTTAAATGCTCTGCCAGTTCCGCCAATGTAGCTCCATGAGCAGTTGCTACATTTGATTTCGTAAACAATGTTCTGGTGGTGGTCTGTCATTGGGCAAAGGGAATAGTTGCTGTAGTGTGCGGAGAGGTTTAGTTGTTACTATGATGTCATGGGGTTTCAAGTGGTTCTGTCAGGCCTGTCTGTGACTCTACGAGGTTGAAAAATTCCTGAACTAGTTCCTAAGGTGGACATACTTTTTCCTGCATCATAACTCGTTTATAAAATCGACTGTAGCGATATTGCCTAAATTCTCAAAGATTTACTACTGGAACTAAAAGACCTTTGTAAGAAAATAGCATCTCATGCACTTTCACACACGCTTGGTTGAATCTGATTAATTTCCATATTCATATCCACCATAAGATGAATAATTCAGAATATTCAAACGTTTGTCATGCATCGAAGTTCGACCAGGAGTAAAAAGCATATTTTAGTGTTTTGCATTCTTGAGCTGTTTTAGCCAACGAAATTCGTTAGAATTTTAAGTGCAGGACTAAACTTCGGGCAAGCCACCCATTTTTCCTTCTTTTGCCTGAGGCTAGATATTCATTCAAAATAAGTTAAATAACGTTAACTTACATAATGAATTTCTCTGTTAAAGAAATTATGCGCAACATACTGAAGTTAAGAAAATGTAAGAACATATGTCAAGCTGGATAAAAGTGTTTTCTTTTAGAAAATTAAAAATTAAATGTGTAAAAGTTCATTATCTGAAATTTTGTATGTCACGCTGAGCAGGACATCTGGCTTCACCACTGTTTTATTGGAGATACACTAGCCAACTTGCGTTACTTGATAACGATCAATTAAATATGATGAAAACCATTCATTCATTAATATGTCGAAAGGCAGTGTTAAATCCTTCAGAAAAGGAAATGGTACTTTAAAAGAACCGATTGAGTCCCTTACGAAGGAATTTAAGAAATCAGCCAACAACATGAAACGAAACCAAAGTCAATTAACATGGCAATCAAAGTTTGACAACAGACAAGGAAGCAGCAAAGAGTCTAGAATACCAGATGATCTTGATATGCGGAAAAGTACTGGCACTAGTTGTCAAATAGAAATCCATTTTATGATTAAAACAACTGAATATCTCCTGTAATATACTTTATTTCGATTCCATATTTTTGTCAGACTAGAGTGCTCATAACCAAACATAATTACAAAGTTTCAACTAGTTTCATAAAGAATAACGAAAGATATAATTGACTGAATACATCAAAATGGATTTCTATTCGGACAACCCTTTCTGAGCACTGATTGGCTAAAATACGAACACGAGATCACCTGGTACTTATCAAACAAATACGACAATATAACTCAATTCGATAAAACAACAAATCTCTTGCCTGGAAAGTCTACTAACCGAACTGGTTGAAAAAGTTGATGTTCTTTCTGAAGCAACTGATGAGGCACAACAGTACAGTTATTCATATAATGTAAAGTTGATCAGAATTCCTGAGCTTGGGCCTTGAGAATCAGCAGCTCAAACAAGTGAACTTTGTGTGTACATCTTTAATGCTATGAATGCCCATGTAAAGATAGAGGATATAGCTCTTGATGTAACATGCATATCCTCAATAATCCAAGATGGCAAACACCTCACTTTTTTCAGTTGAAATATTTTGAAA